CGATGCCCTGCCTGGGCCAGACCTCGGAGAGAGCCACTCCACCACCAGGTGCAGGGAGCTGGAGCTCTTACGGAAATTCTGTTTCACCAAACGTGTATTTAGCACCTACTGTGTTCCTGGCAAGGTGGAAGTGATTTACAAATCTCAACTTGTATAAACCTTTTATTTCTGTTCGTATTACTGTTTGGCCCAAATCCTGATTTTCAGATTTTTAAAATTTAACATAGCATAAAATATATAAAGTAAAAGGCCCAGAGGTATAAAATATATACATGATATATGTGCTTTTGAGATATAAGCCACATATTGTAAAGTGCACCACTTTATTTTTTTTAACATTTTTTATTGATTTATAATCATTTTACAATGTTGTGTCAAATTCCAGTGTTCAGCACAATTTTTCAGTCATTCATGGACATATACTCACTCATTGTCACATTTTTTTCTCTGTGAGTTATCATAACATAATGCACCACTTTAAAGTGCTCAAATTCCAGAACATTCTGCCACCCCCAGAAATCCTGACCCCATGAGAAGTCACTCTCCATTCTCTGCTCCCCTAGCGCCTGCAACCACAAATCCACTCCCTGTGTCTGGGGACTGGCCTGTTCTGGACGTCTCACATCCGTGGACTCACACACTGTGTGTCCTTCTGTGTCTGCTTCTCTCCCTGAGCACCGTGCTCTCAGGGTCTGTCCACGTCAGATCGAGGGTCAGTGCTTCCTTGCTTTTTACAACTGAATAACATCCCAGTGGGTAGATGGACCACATTTTACTTGTCCACCCGTGTGTTGTTGGGTGTTTGGGTTGCTTCCGTCCTGGCTATTACGAATCATGCTGCTATGCCCGTGTGCATGAGGTTTTGTTTTGAACACAGGTTTTCACTTCTTTGGGGTAGATACTTAGGAGCGGAATTGCTGCATCACGTGGTAACTCTGTTTGTTTGAGGAACTGCCAGAAAGCTGTTTTCCATGGCGGCTGCGCCATTTCCCATTCCCACCAGCCGTGAAGGAGGGTCGCAGTTTCTCCCGCCCTCGCCGGCCCTTGTCCTGTCTGCCTTTCTGGCAGCAGCAATCCCAGTTGGGGTGGGGTGACATGTCAGTGTGCTGGTGATCTCCGTCTTCCTGGCAGCCCGTGATGCTGAGCATATTTCCACCTGCTTATTGGCCATTTACCCATCTTCTCTGGAGAATATTAGATTTTTTTTATAAAATCAAGATATAAGTCACAGACCATAAAATTCCTACTTGGGGAGTTTACACTTCGCTGGTTTTGCGTGTATTCACGTTGCTTTGTAACCATCGAGCCGGAAGACTTTTTACACTCGTGTAGACCCAGATGCTGACACGGAAAAAGAAACATCCCAGCCCGCTCCCTGTACAATCCTCCTCACCTTTAATAAGGAGGTGGCAGGGACCTAGAAGGCTAGGATCCCTGGGAAGGCAGGGACGCGATCTCTTTTGATCCCTGCTGTATCCCCAGGGCCTGGGATACAGTTGGCACTCCAAAAGTGCTCACTGAGGAACTGAATGAATGTTCCAGACTAGACCTTGAAGCTTTAGCGGGATTTTTTGGCTTGTGACAACAGTGGGGTGTTCTGGCATTTGATGGGCAGGGGCCAGGGAACTGACCATCTGGCCACTGGGCCCCTCAGCAGCCCCTGGGGACGCCCTGCCCCCAAAGGGCTGACATGGTGCAGCCGGCCCTCCCGGCTGGTCTGCCCTTGGACCTGGATGAGCGCAGCTGGCAGGAAGGAAGGCTGGGGTTTATTTTGGTCCCCAGCGTGCTCCCCTGGGAGAGCAGTCATCTCCCTGCCTGGCTGCTTGGATGGGGGTGTTTCTGGCAGAACAATGGGTTGGGGGGGGCCATGCAGCTGGTCTGGTCCAGGTGTTGCAGGTCTGGGGGCTGGCCCAAGGGGCTAGGAGCGGGGAGGCCGAGAGGGGAGGCCACGGCTGCCCCTACCCCTTTTTCTTCTGTGCTTGGCAGGGTGGGGGTAGGGGTGGCGCTGAGGCTGAGGGCCCAGGCTCTTCATGAAGCTGGTAAACAGGACAACTTTCCCTCTGAACCAACACGCCGAACCTCAGGACTTGCAGATGGGAAGGTCAAGGCTCAGAGAGGGGCAGGGCCCAGCCTGGGGTCAAACAGCAAATAGGCAGAAAGGCCTGGGCTCCAGCACCCCTGGAATCCAGGGAAAGACATGCTCCTCTCTGAGCCTCAGTCTGTCTATCTGTAAACTAGGGAGACTTGACCCAGGGTGTTGGGAGTTCACTCTAGGTTCCAGTGTCTGCAGATATCCTTTCCCTCATGTATTCAACAAACACTTATTGGGCACCTGCTGAGTACCAGGCCCTGGCTGGCCACCAGACATGGTATGAACAAGAGAGATGCACCCGCTACCCGTATCGTCAGGCCAGGGAGATGGACACCAAAACCAAGGTGCTCAGGGCTGTGATGGAAGATGCCCAGGGCACCGTGGGGACCGAGGGGGCATCCATCCCAGCCTGGGGCATCTGGGAATCCTTCTAGGAGGAGGTGACAGTAACTGAGACTTGAATGAGGAGCAGGAGTTTATGGGATGAGTGATGGGGGAGGAGGGCTCCAGGTAGAGGGAGTGGAATAGAACGTGGTGAGAGGGCCCCCCCGAGGCACGGGTACTCCTCACTGTTGCTCCTTCTTCCAGACAGCGTCACAGAGAAGTCGGTCTGTACATTCAGGGACCTGAATGGCGTAGAGCTTAAAGGTTGGAATTCCAGGCAGTGGCATCCAGCCTCTTGCCCAGGAGACACTCACAGCCTAGGGGGCCCTGGGGTTGGCCACAAGCTTCTGCCCTAGGATGGACTTAGTTCTCTGTCCTAACATTCTCCGTCCTCCATTTTACAGATGGAGAAACTGAGGCACAGGGCAGCTATGTTCCTTAACCAAGTGGTCAGAGCTGGGAGCAGGTCCTAAATATTGGGGTGGTTTTGTCAAGGGGGGCAGCTCCCAGCTCTCCAAGACTCGGGGAGACTCGCAGGCGTCAACTAGGGAAGGCAGAGGAAGTTAGGCGTGCAGAGGGTGGGAGCAGGCAGTCACAGTGTTGCTGTGTGGCCTTGGGGAAGTGGCTCAGCCTCTCTGTGAATTGGCAACCAGCCCCAAACCAGGCAGAAATGATGAAATGGGCACATGCCACTGGCACAGGATCTGCCACACGGTGCTCAGTCAACATAGTCCTGCTCTGGCCCCAGCCTGTGTAGCCCCAGGGTCTGGGACTGGTGTAGGGGGCAGGGAAGGCTGGTCCTTTCATCTCCAGGCCCACCCTGACCTCTGCGGGCAGGGATAGGGCAGCTGAGGGTTGGGACTTCTCCGGGAGTCTGAGCTCACACAAAGACGGGCTTTGTGGGGGCTCCTGGGGGTGAGAGGGTGCCCACGTGGCATTCCTGGTCTGGCCTGGGGCTGGGGTAGGGGTGGATTCTGACCAGGGCCTGCGGCAGCGGCGAATGAAGCCTGGGGGTGGGGCTGAGGCTCCCTCATTCATTCGGCAGATGTTTCTGGAGTCTCCAAGGACACAGTGGATAAGGAGTCAGGCCCATTACCTCCCTTCGTGGCCTGCAGTGAGGCAGACCACTGAGGAAGCAAAGCCGGTGGGTGGGGCAGAGCAGTGATGGGGGGGATGCCTGGGGCACTGTGTGGCTCAGAGGAGGTGCTTCACCGTCAGTCTGGCAGTTCAGGGATGGCTTCCTAGAGAAGGTGGTGTCCAGGCTGAACTGAGGGGAAGACGCAGGGGCTTAGGGGCCAGGGCTTTGGGGGATGTATGTAAGTCTGTCAGGGACGGGGCTGGGGCACGAACGAGGTGTGGGGCTTGGTCCTGGGAGCCATGAGGAGCTGCCAGTTGGTTCTTAGAAGGCAAGAGCTGTGCCCAGATGTACAATTTAGGAAGAATTCTGGTGCTGCGGGAAGGAGGTGGTTGGAGGGGGAGGCTCCTGAGCCTGGGAAGCCTGGATGATGGCCACAGCAGGAAGAACAAAAGGAGGGAGACACAGGGGGCCCAGGCTTCCACAGCTGGAGGCCTGGCCAGCACTCCCAGAGAGCTAGCCTGCCGTTCACACTGGTCACCTCCCTGGCCCTTTCCTGAGTGGAAGCTGTCGCAAGTCAATGTTTCTGTATTAGGGGAATCATTGGAGAGATGCATTTCCAGAAACTCCAAAGATGGCCCTGGGGAACCCCCACCCACCCAGCCTACTGCCCACCTGACTCATTCGGGGCCTGACTAAGGCCTCAGAGATGTCTGTTGTAAATTCACCAGGGAATTGGTGGCTGGGCTCCTCCGCTGTGAATAGCCCAGGGGCTGGGGCTGGGACCCTGTTTCACAGAACTGCGGGATAAGGGTTGGGGAATGATAAGCTGGACCCCCTGTGATAACCCCCCTTGAGCCCCTTCTCAACTCACAGCAAGGACACAGTGGGTTTGGAGGGCTAGTGCCAAGGCCCACAACCAGTGGGGGACCACAAATAGATTTCACCATTATGCATTAACTCCTTTGACTTAATACCCTTTTTTTTTTTAAGGAAAACAAATTCCCTCGGGTCATCCTCTCTTCAGTGTGAATGCTCTTTTTTCACAAGCTTTTCCTATGTAGGTCTTTGCATTCTGTGCTCTAGCTACTCGCTATTTCCTGCCTCCAGGCCTCAGCGCAAGCGGATCTTTGGGCCTGGGATGCCTTCCCCGTTTTCTAACCTGTGCCCTCCTCCAGGAGGCCTGCCTGGGCCCCCCTGAAATGCTGGGGTGCCCTGCTGTGGGGCTCTTGCAGCTTCCCGGATTGTGGCACTTGCCGTGTGTTCCTGGGGGGCTCGTTGGTTGGCCCTGCACACCGCGTCCTGCCACATAGTAGGTCTGTGGCCTGGGCACACTGGAGACAGGCTGCTGGTGTGTACCCATTTCCGGGTGGGGAAGCTGGTGGCCGCGCATGTCAGCAGCCCAGGCCACGCGGCCTGACCGTGGGTCTGTCTGTCTGTCCTTGCCAGGGCGGATGGATACCTTCAGCACCAAGAGCCTGGCCCTGCAGGCCCAGAAGAAGCTCCTGAGCAAGATGGCATCCAGGGCGGTGGCAGGGGCCTTCATCGACGACGCGAGCAGCGAGGTGCTGGATGAGCTGTACCGCGCCACCAAGGAGTTCACCCGCAGCCGCAAGGAGGCCCAGAAGGTGGTCAAGAACCTGGTCAAGGTGGCCGTGAAGCTGGGCGTCCTGCTGCGCGCCGGGCAGCTGGGCGGCGAGGAG